ATCTAATCATGATCATTTGGTCCTGAGTTTTATTTCTATTTAGGGTCTATTCGTTCTAAGGATAATTGTCACTAACAAATGTTTTGATTTGATTTTAAAAGTCATCTTGAATAAATGTGTGTGAAATGAAATTAAAAATAATTTGTTCAGATTGTTCATTTTTACTCAGAGAAACACTGAAACTTCTAATAAAAGTTATATCGAAGGGAATGAATTGTGCCAGCCTAAACAGGTGTATGACTTCATATCAAAGTTTGCATTCCTGTACAGTTCTTGGTTACCTGTTCAGTGACCCTAATCTACAGACAATAGAAAAAGAACTGGTCAGACATGTAACCAAGCACTGTCGGCCTTTCACTAACTATATAAATGGCTGTTGTGGAAAGAAACGATAACCTTTAAACTATTGTGTTTTTATTTATTGTTCAACCTTCCACTGTAAAATGTGAAAGTATTGTTCCTGATGTTAAATCCCCATATTAGATGGGCTTCTTGAGTTGGCTGTCCCCAGGGTTGACATGTACGTGTAAGTAGAACATTCAATTATCTTGTCTCGTGGTTTAATTCAAGCATTTTGTTATAATTTCCTAGGTACCAAGGCTTCACTCTTCTCTGTGTTGAAATGTTTAATCTGTATTTGTACAGACAAGGATGTGTGCTTTGATCAATGAAAAGTTTACAACAAAGTTATTATATTATATAACCCTCACATCTAATTATTTCAGAATCTACAAATTACTGGTTACTTTGTTGTTTGTGTTTACTTTGATCTGTTTGCATGAATCAAAAGCTCTCAAGAATTATTTCTATGATGTGACGTATGGCATGACGTCAATCGCACATGTAACTATCATGCTATTGTGTGAAATATACTAAAGTATGTACGAATGAAAGCATGTAATGTAGGTTCTTTGTGACAGACTATGGTGTACTCCATAAATCATAGCAAGTCCACTTAAAACCTTCTTAAGTTTGTTCATATTTTTTTTTAGCTCTGCTGTCAACTTAGCAACAGAGTGACGCTGTTCATATTACAGCTGGTCTGTTGTCGGTGCTAACTTTCTACAAAAAGTATATAGCCCTAATTATACGAAACCACAAGTGTTTGGCCTTGATTATACAAACTACAAGTGTATGGCCCTAATTATACGAAAACTTCAAGAAGTATTAGTCTTAACTATATAAAAACTACAA